GCAGTGCCTGAGGGCAAGCGGTGCCCTCCCCAGCTCCTGGCTCTCCAAACACAGCCAGAATAGCAGGGGCCTTACTCTGTGTGGGTACTTGTGCGACGATAAAGCTGCTGTCCTAGCAGAGGCAGGCACTGCACCATCAAGGGAGGTTTGCTGACTTGGTATTATGGGTGCACCTACAGCAACAGGCCTGCTCTTTCACAGAAATAACCATGGCCTTCATGGTTTTTTTCTGGCTCCTCCTTCTCCTTTTCTGCCCTTGCTGTGCCCCCATCCCAGCTGTGGTGTTCCCACCCCAGCTGTGCGCTGGAGATGGTGCAGTGAACTGATGCAGTCCTCTGTAGATCAGACTGCCTCATGGTCCCCATCTGCTCCCAGACAACACTGTCCATCCAGTGCCCCTCCAGCTGTGGCAAGGGCCAACTGCTTGATGGCAGTCAACATCAACAAGAAAAAAAAAACAATTGTTAATTATTTGTATCTATAGTCAGTCTCTTCCAAGCTTGTTTTCCAATAAATGTTTATGTTTAACTATACTGGTGTAATTTTCTATGTATTCAGGGTGCCATTGCTTAAGCATTGGCATCCAGGGTCTTTTAGGATGCTCCAGGGTATCCAATGTATCTGCATGGCTTTGCAGATGTAACAGAGGATTTACCCAGTGCCTTTCCAGAGAAGCAAATCCAATTGAGGTTGATACCCTGAGGGCCATAGAATGGTACAGGACACTTAGGTTTAAGCATCTGAACGCCACCCCTATTTCCATTAGCAGTAATGGTTGCTTAGGCACTTAGCACACATGTAGATGCCTATTACAGCCACCTAAATGCAGCTGTCTTCATCTGGAGCTGAATCCTGCTCTTCAGTCTCTGCAGAGTAGGCCGACCAACAGCTGCAAAGCCATTGCTATTTTAAATGCAAGATTTTTTTTTCTTTTAACAGCACACAATTACTGTTGTTATATGTGGGAGGTCTTATCAGGGTCTGATTGCACTAGACACTCAAACAGAAATAAGCATATTTGACCTCAACTTTTCAAAATGCAAGGAAAAGAAAGGTTCAGAATTAAAAGTGTTCATGACAAAACAAGCTCAAAAGTTTAGATAAACTAATTTACATGAGTATACCCAGGTCTTAGATGACAGAATGACTATCCATTACAGGTGTTGCAGGCTGTCCGGTGAAGACAATTAAAGCACATTGGAATTTGCACAGAAAGTGAAGTGTTTTATAAATGGACTCCATATGGCACTCCCAAAATTCAAGCAGCTCTTACTGCTAAATTGAAAATGAACAAAATAATACCAAACTCAAACGGTGGTATGTTTTGATGTTTCATTCAGAGAAACAAATTCAAGAACACTTCCCCTTCTATTTTACAAGGCAGCGCAGCTACTAAATTAGTTTAGTTACCTCTATGCAAAAAAAAAAAAAAAAACCAACCCAAAAACAAAACCAAAAACTTCTTACATAAAAAAGGAAAAATCACCTATAACTGGGCTGCCAGTGTAGCACTCTATATTTCCCCAGGATTCAGTCTTACACATGGAATAAAATGGTAATGCTCTTTTTTCAACTCTAGCAGTTAGTGAAATAACAAAGGTGGGATTATAAGCAAAGACAGCTTTCAGCTTGATCCTGACCTTAAAATATAAAATACCTCAGCTTCTCAAAATGAGATTGCACCCTTGAAAGATATGAGACTTGCATAAATGGACAAACACCTTGGGAGAAGACTTTTAATGATAAGATTAATTTATTAACTACCAACACTACTCTTATTAACTGCCGAGATACATTGACCCTGAAGTCCTGTTTTCAAAAGAAAATATACCCAGTCTGACCCCATGCCAAATGTCTCACCAAATCGCATCAGTCAAACCAACGTGTCTGTTCAAGAGCTGTTCACAATCCTTAAAATAAAGGTCCAGGCAGTGCAGGCAGTTAACTTCCACATCATGCTCCCCGGCAGGTAAACTCATACCCCCCACATTGGTGGACTAGTGCCACCAGACAGCTCAGTTCCTAGCTGCAACCCATTTCTTATTGCATCTGAGACCTTCTGTGAGTCCAAGACCCAAAACTAACCTGGTGTGTCTTATCAACAATGCACAGGGAAAAAAAAATAAAAGGAGCTAATTGAGTTACAATATGGTCTGGTATAATGAAAAAATATCTAATGCAGATGGAATTTAACAGGAAAAAGAATATATATATCATTAGGCAAAGATGAGGGCTCTAGGAAACTGAAGGAACATTGAGAGAAGTTTTTCATCCTGGAATAAGGAAATGTTGGCTTGGTGACCTCCCTGCTAAAGGGCAGAGCCTTTCTCAAGGAACTGTAAGTACTAAAGAAGATAAACTCTCTTCCCTTGATCAGTGGATTTGAAAATTCACCATCAGGGATAACAGCAACAGATGGCACATCTGTCCCTCAGTTTATTTTGCTGCCCTGTAAGAATCATGACAGTTTTGCAGCTACGTTCTGTACATTTTGAAATACAATTTGGAAGAACTTTGCAATTATGAGATTGTCTCCACTTCTCATGGAAAACTTCATATTTTGAGTGTGAGGATAATTTCACAGTAATTCACATTTCTTCAAATTAAGATTCCTCAGGGTCACACAATAAAAAAATCCCTGTAATTTAGCTAGCCAGCTATTTTGAAATTAAGAGAACAAAGATCACCTGGGGATAAATTAATGGTTAATGGCCATGCAGATGCACCTGTATAATCAAACTTGTCTCTTCTATTTTCCCACCTCGCTTTGCATCCGAACTGTGTGCACTGTGCTGTTCTGAACACAAATTGCCTGGATGTTACTGACCTGTTTAAAGGCTGGCAGGCAGCCACAGGGCCCCACGTGTGACTATGTACTCCTGGAACCGCACACCCCGCACCCTGACAATATTACAGCAGTCATGTCTCATGAATTTGTATGGAGCCATGTAGAGGTCACAGATTTTGCAATCTGGGAAGAGGAGATCACTTCGTCCTGCCTCAACAGCAGCCGTGACGATGTGAAGATACACAGACGTATATCAAAGAGATGCTGAGAGGGGTCACTCTGGGAACACTGTTCAAAGTTGCAGCAAACAGAGGGGCGCTGGCACAATTATTTAAAAACAAACCTCTGGAAAGAAGTAGAATCCTGGCAATGCTCCAAGTGCCTTTCCCAAGTACCTTTGAGTGCCAGATTGACTTTTTCCAGCAAAGCCACCGATTATGTACAACGCAGAGGAAAGACACAGAGGAGTCCATGGTCCTTAAGCAGGGCTCTAGTCAGAACAAGCTTCCTTTTCCCATACCAGAGTCCAAAACAGTACTTGGAGAACAGAAAGCTCTTTCACCCCTGCACGCACGCATGCGGAGTGGCAGAGTGGAAGTGTCAAGCCAGTCCTAAGCAAGTCACCGTGGGACCGCAGCGGTTTGAAATAAAAATATCGCGATGGAGGTATGTTTATGGAAACATCAAATACAGGGAAAAAAAAGCAATGTAAAACATACTTTGCTTTTTATAAGGCATATTTAGCATTTTATAAGGTATACTTTCCCAAGTGAGGAATGGAAAACTGCAAAGACGTTGAAAGCACTCAGCCAGGCTTGGTGTTATTAAACCTTGGTTCAGTACAGTCACTGCAAGGCACTGCTCATTCCACAGTGCATTCTGTGTGCTCCTGCAAGCAACAGAAAAAAATCTTAAGACAAGAATTATGCTCTCTTTTGGCATGAAAATCACAGGCTTTATCAGTATTGCAGATGTGAATAATTTTTCCATTCCCATCTGCAGCAACCCTGGCAGATTGTGCTCATCAGTAGTGTAATAGGATCATTTGCTGCTTTGTCTCCTGCCTTTCTGGATAAGCCCATTACTGCTTCTTCGTGGCTTACATCAGACAAACATCTTCCACATGTGAGGTGCGTGTGCAGAAGTGCAAAGGTGCACATGCCTGTTTCATGCGATCTCTCCCCTCACAATCTGTGCCTAAAACCCAGGCTAACTATCCACAGCTTTACCCCGACAGCTTTTCACACTGTACCTTCCTTACTGCAGTTTAAGCTACACCACCTCTTGTGTGATACTTTATCCACAGCTGGAGAACTGCATCAGCCACTTACAAAGTATTTGAGGACTACTGTTATGTCTCTCCTTCAGTCTTCTCTAGGCTCTAAGTATTTGCAGGAGTCAGCTCTGCAGCAATCCTCTGAAATTTTCTGTTCCTCACACAGAAGTGAAGCCATCTGTAAGAGGCATTTTAAAGAAAATTGCACTGCATGTCTTAGGAGAAGGCTACACCGGATGTTTGTTACTATTCAGCAATGCGACAATGCATAAATCTCCAAATTCAGGATTAAAGATGAAAGATCCTGCTCTGTAGCAACTAAAAATGCAAAATTACATTAGGAAAACCATAAATGCTTCCCAGAATATAAGGTCATGTTCATAATTTTTATATCTGCAACTGAAATGTAATAGCTTAAGTCAACTCAGTAGAAGAACTTTGCTCAAAATTATTTCATCACAGAATCATATAATTTATTTACTTTTCCCTTCAGAATCTGAATACAGTAGAGGCCACTATTTTCCAATTTTTAAAAGCACTTTATTTTAGTCTAATCTATTACATACATTTCTAAAGCGTCTATCACTTCAGTTTCCTGGCATGCTTTAGATGATATTCACAAGTTAGAAAATAACATATTGTGCTCTCCATCCCACATCCCGAAATCTTAGCTTTTGTGGATTCCTAAATGCGAGCTACCAGCTTCGGTAACTTTTGGGGGACGATTGCACAGGTACAAAGTCTGACTGTACAAAGTGCTGCGCGGCACCTGAGAAATGTTGAGCTTCTTTGTGTCCCATTGAATTAAAATGAGTGTGCATTGAAGGGCAGGACACAGATCTACAAAAAAGCCTCAACGCAGCTCCGCCCCCGGAGTCCCCGTCCTCGCCGCCGGCGGGGCACAGCGCCCCCTGGGAAAGCGGGCAGCTGCGATCGATGAACTCGGCCGCTCGACGGAGAACCCTGCTCGGCGGTGCGGAGTGCGACTGTCTGTCCCGGAAGCGGGGGGGTTGTCGCCGTTGCTGGGGGGAGCCGGCGGCGGCAGCGATGGCGGCGGCGGAGCAGCTGTACCCGCGGAGCTCCTTGGCAGCAACGTGGCCTCGGCCAGCGTCCACATCCGCATGGGTAGGGACTGGGGATGAGTAAGGCCGCCAGCGCCCCCCCCCCCCCACCGAGGGCCCCGCCGTTGCTGGGCGGTCAGAGGGGGTGTCGCCCCCCGGTGCTCCCAGCAGGTTCCTCTCTGGTCACCCCGTCGCCTGGGGCGTTCGGCTGAATTCAGCTTCTGCGTAATAGTGTAACCTGCGTGAAGGCTTGGAGTCGAGAGCTAGGCCGTTGCTTAGGCCGGGTTACGCATCGAGAGGGAGAGAAAGATCAGTGGCCAGCCCAAAACTGGGTTGTATCGGTCCAGGGTGCAGGAGGTCGGTCTTTTTGTCAGAGCGATTAAACCCGGACAGATTCAGGCTTGATTTTCCCCACAGTCGTGTATTTGGAAGCTCAGACATGATACATGAGATGTATGAATGCTAAAATGGGTGTCCATAATTACAGTAGTTTAACCAGGACACTGGGAGACTGGAATTTGGTCTCTGAGGTGTTGAACTGTTGTCTGTTCTGCTGGAGCATTTGCAGGCTCTAAGGTCATATCAGCTGTGAAATATTGCTCTGCTGTTAACATGCAGGTCTCAAACGCATTGGATACTGTCGTAGAAGGTGTCTAATCAGTGATCCTTGCTGAAGTAGTGTTATTGGATACATCTTGGTATACAAACAGCTGTGTGCTGTGAATTTTTTATTAGATGTTTCTGACAAACAGGAGACCTCTTTCTGATAAAAATACAGTTTTATCTTGTTTGGAAAATAAAGAGTGCCATAGGAAATATGAAAGAGGTATTGCCATTAGAAAAGTTGCTGATGCATTTAATAATGGGGGTGATGGATATGCTAGGCTACTTCTAGGTTTGTTCAGTTTATTGCAGCAAAGTAGGCCCCAGTTCCTCCTGGCTTACAAGTATATTTAACTTTACCTGCTACAGGCAGGTAATTCAGCTTCTCATAGCATGTGCTCTTAAACTTGTTTAGGTTTAAAGATTGAATTGATTCTCCCTGTAAACTTATTCTTCCTTTCAGAGCGGTTTGCCTATTGAACTTGGTCTCCCTCCATTCAGAACAGAGACTATTTGTATGATATATCTGTATGTCCTGAACCACTCCCCACTCTTCATAATTCTAGAAATATGAAACCTGTTAGCTTAACTTCCAAGTCAATCTTTCTTCATTTAGGGCCAGTAGATACCAGTAATGTGACAGAGAAGGTATACTGTTAATAATTTATTAGTGAGATTAGGTGTATGTCTGAAGTAAATTCCTTGCAAATTTTTTTTGCATTTATTGTTGTTGTTTAAATAGTAAGATCCAGGAATAAATGTAATTTTGCTGGAATACTGTGTCAATTTTTTAAGGAAAAATGCCTTGTTACCACTTTGCTTTTTCACTGAATAAAGAGCTTCTAATGGTTCCTTATCAAATAGAAAACTTGTACCTGATTTACTGTTGAACTTTATAAGTGCAACTCAAAAGTAGTTTCATTTTTTTTTCGTTATTCTAGCTTTTCTGCGGAAAGTCTACAGCATTCTTTCCATTCAAGTTCTTTTGACCACAGTCACATCAGCACTTTTTCTGTATTCTACTGGAGTGCAGGCATTTGTTCATGAAAGGTAAATACTAAAATGAAATGGAGCTGTTTTATTGTGTGCTAAGTATAGTTTATGTGGTTTGTGGCTCTGGAACACTTCAGTATTCCTAGTCATTTTTATACACTGTGTTTTGATTCTGTAATAGAAATTTTGTAACCTAATTAGGAAATAACTTCTCTTCTCTGACATTTTTCTCCTTGTTTTATTATTAAAATTTATTATTATAATTAAAGTTTATTTTAATACTTTATTAATAGTGCTTATTTTAATATTTTTGCTATGAAAACCTATACATCAGTTGCAGAACATCTCAATTATTGACGTTTCTTGATCTGTGGTCTAAGTATCTATTTTTAGAATCTGTTTGGAATGCTGTTGTTTATAGGTACCTGTTCCAAAAAGCTGAATCATGTCTTACTCCTCTCCCTCCCCCATCTGCTTTCCTGTGGACTTGCTGCTTTTTGCATCTCAGATTTTCATGAGAAAAAACCAAGTCTCAAAATCCAAACTGTGGGCAAAGAACAACGGGGGAAAGGAGAGTCCAGTTTCTGGCTTCCCCTAAGTGCACTTGCAGGCTTCACTTTTACTCTCAGTTCAAATTCCCAAATAGAAAAGGAGCATCAAACACTATATGAAAGTTTCTGTATAAGCTATAGTGTATACAACAGAGGTTGTAAAATGACAATTTTCTACTTAAAATTGATAACTTAAAATAGTCCTGCTCATTTAGAATTGTTGTGATTTTGTGTTTGATTTTGGTTCAGTTTTTGCTTGGAGGGCTGCTTGAATGGTTTCATTGTAGCGATATTTACTGGTCAATGCTGATTTTCTTTGGTGCACTTAGTGCCCATGTTTGCTGCATTCAGGTGCTTATTAAAAAAACAGTTCCCTGAATGTGGAGTTCTTAATAGACAGAATATTACGTATACTTTAATACTGTTGGTTTAGTACAGATTGATTTTCTTCTCCATACAGGTCTGTCTCCAGGTGATGGATTCCTGGGCAATCTTTAGCTTCAATGTTAAAAAATTACTTGCGACTGTAATATTTGTAACTGCTTATCTGTGGTGTTATGTTTTAGAGCAGTTTAATTGTAAAACTTGCTTTACATTTACTTTGGATATATGGAGTAGTATCTTTATATAGGTGATCACTTAAAAGCTTGGATTTATAATAACTTTTTTCAGTCTTACAGATATTTTAATTTGATGACTTTTTCGTATGGAACTTTACAGGCCTGCCTTGCTTTTGATATCTGGGTTGGGATCTTTGGCTATAATTGTGGCACTGACCCTCTATAGACACCAACATCCTGTTAATTTATACCTGCTTTTTGGATTTGTAAGTATTTTTATGAATTCAGTCTTAATAGTCCCTAGAATATCTTTCACTGTGATGGACTCCTTGAAGCAAAATAGTGGCGGGTAATTTGTTTTTCTTGTATTCCTTGAAATATACACTATATACTTATGAAGGTCTCAGTTATTTTTTGGAGATTCTGTCCACAGATTGTTCCTGTATGGCCTCTACATCAGGTTTCTTCCAGCATCTTTTCAGGAAGCATGTTAGAACTTGGAATCAGGATGAGCAAGCTTTATTTTTTTTTGTGTCCGTGTATAAATATATCTGTCTACCTATCTGTTCTCATGGTTCTAGTAATGTCAGTGATTTTTCTGTGAAACTGCTCAGTAGGAAAGGAGGAGGCACTTCTGTTACTTGAGAACCTCCTGCGCAGACCTAAATGCAACCAGCCATGTGTGGTTTATTTCTTTAATTGCTGTCTTTTTGGTGCCAAGTTTTGAGCGTGTTTCCAACACAGGCATGTCAATCAGCTGTCCTCAAATTTCAGTCTCCTGCCTGATGTTGCAAATTTGTAAATATGGGCTAACTGTTGCTCTTGTGTATTTTGGATGATGTAGCAAACCAGTCTTCTGAAAAGAAGTCACAGTAGCACAATTAGATTTTGATGCTTTAGGAGTTGCCTAAATTGTATTTGTGATATAGGGCGAAGACAGCTTTGCTGTGTAAGTAAATAGGCTGTTTAAATGGTAACACAGTTATATGTTTCCTGACTTCTGAACTCTTGCAGGAGAGTAAAATATTTAAAAACTTTCAACAAGTGCAGCTGTAACACAAGGAGGGATGTAACAGTTTGGACAAATGTGGTGTGGGAGTTTGTGGTACGACAGTTTAAGTATTACATTGTGAAGGAATAGAATGATTCAAATCTGTGCATGATAAGTTGGTTTAAACAGAATATGAGTTAAATGTTCTGTTGTTTCTGATCTCTTGGTTCATGACATAGAGACTTTTCTCATGTTCCATTGTAATGAAACTTAATTTGAAATTATCTTTTAGAAAAATTCAGGGCCCATACTAGCCTTCAGCCCAGACATCAGTAATATGTTTGATTTTAAGTTAGCTGTTTCAAAACAAGGACACATGGGAAAAGGAAGCTGATGCAGACACTTGGCTGTCTAAAAAGAGTGTATTAGTTTTATAGCGTCTTGAATAGTTTGTAAAAAATGTGATAAGAATCCTATGTTCTTTGAGTAGAAAACCTAAATGGCATTTTTCTATAGGGGCTCTCGTCCGTTTTCAGTTTCTATTGTATTCTTTTTATGTAATACAACAACTTAAGACAGTATGATTGCCATGTTCTTGTTGAAAACGAAACATTTTCATATACAAAGATTTAATAAAAGAGCTAATGTAACACATGCTGGGATTATGTAGCAGAATGGGACTCATTGCATGTGGAGTCTCTGTGTAGGTGGTTTTTGTTTTATTTTATTTTTATCCTTGTAATTCTTTGTTTTTACTTTTTGTAGACCCTACTGGAAGCACTGACAGTTGCCATTACAGGTAAATGGTAGCCATCCTATTGTCTGATTAACTAAAGAAATTGGAAGAGGAATCTGATAATGTTGTACTAATTGCCATCTGAGATTCCTGGATGTGACTAAAATGATAATAAATCCCCTGTACAAAAATTTTAATGACAGTGACAGGAGTTTAGCAAAAACCAGGGAATCAAGGGCGAAAACTGGATTCTTATCCAGAACTAAAACTGTACAAACCTGAAGTGAGAAATGAGGTCTAGCATCTATTTTTTTACATATAGCTAGCAATGTTCTTTCCTATAAGGCAGCTCTCAGCAGAGCTGATCTGCAAGTGAAGTATGCTTATGTTCCCTCTCAGTTTCCTCCAAGGGAATTTGAGTTTGGATAGTTGTGTGCTTTGTTGTCAGGGTTGCGATGGGGTGGTGTGCAGGCAAGTCATGGCATCACCCTGCACTGTAACTTCCAGCATAAGATGAAACCTGTTCATTGTGGCTTATGATCTCCTGCAAATAAAAAAGTTGTTTGGGGAAAGAAAAGATTAAGGAGGGAAGAAAAAGGTTCCACTAATTTCTCTTGTCTTTCGCCTATCCCCTGATCAAAACTTTATGAGCCTTTACAGAGGAATGATTTTTTTTTTCTTTGCTTTCAGTGTCATGAAAAATTAATATAGCTTTTTCCTTAAGTTCTCACATATCTATGCTTAAAATACTTCTTATTTTTTTTTTAATTGTGAGTAGAGAAGATCTGTTATTTCCATTTGAGAAGCTACAGCTGTAAGGTAACTGTCAAACTTAACTAGTGCAAGGGTCTATGCGTCCTATGATCATGATTTTGAAGTGCAAAGACAAGTTCAGGCATAATTTACTTTTTTTTGTTCACAGTTAAGATATTTCTTTTTCTGTCTGTGGAAGTTCAAAAGATAGCTTAGCAAATACATAGTGTAGTGTTTTTTAAATGTCAGTTTATTTTTTCTGTTTATAGTGAGTTTCTATGATGCGTCCATCGTCTTGCAAGCCTTTATTCTTACTACTGCTGTATTTCTTGGGCTGACTGCATATACCTTGCAGTCAAAGAGAGACTTCAGCAAATTTGGAGCAGGGTATGTTGTCATATTGGTGATTTTTTAATGTTTTTTGTTAAGATAGTTTTTCCTTTTTTAAAGCAAGCTTTACAGATATAGTAAGTAATAGAGGTCAATAGAACCTGCTTCAAGGGAATTGTGCGGGTATTATTTATCTTAAATTATTAATTTTATGCACTTCTGCTTTCTTGGTAAGAAATTATTTTCTGTGATTGTGATTCTTAAAACCATAGTATTACACTAGAGAACTAGTTTACCTGGATTTTTCACTGAGACAGAAAGCAGCTCCTTCAAAAATTTTTATAAAGTTAAGACATAACTTTTGACAGCTTTACCAAACCGAATTTTACTGCTGATACCAATGAACAGTTGGCATCTAAAGATTATGGATGTGTATTTACCAAATATATTGTATTGTAAAGACGTTTTATAAGAAGGGAAGAGATTTTAAGTAAAATTTAAAGTAAAATATATTGTTGCTCATAGTTTGGGTTTTTTGGGGTTTTTTTTCAGTCTCTTCACTTGTTTGTGGATCTTAATCTTCTCAAGTTTCTTGAGGGTAAGATACCTTGTGTTCAAAGTTAAAAAATATTCTTTAAATCTTTTACTAATTTCTAGTATAACAAAAAGGTTTTGAACAGTCCAATATAGCTTAATGAAAGAAAATTCTTAATTAGGTTCATTACAGTTGTAGATCATGCTGGTGATCTTTTAACCATTAATTTCTGTTTCATATTTTTTGTTGGATGCTGTCCTTGCTAATGTAGAAGTGGTATTTGTGTCAATTAACAAAATTTGTCAATCAAGATCCACTACTTGATTGCAAGAATGGAAAGGAGATTTGGGTGTTAGTATATTTTTGTTTTGCTAATTTTTCTGCTGTTAATATTATGGAGACCAGAGCTTCCTCTCTTAAGTGGAGGCACTTTTACTCGGATAAAAGGATTGTGACTGTATGAAATAAGAACGCTAAAATGTCATTGTAATATTGTATATGTGTGTACATAACAGTGAAAAGACTGTATCCTTGTTTTAAGTGTGGCATATCATTATGCAGTGATTTTAATATTAAAAAGACAATGAGATTTACTTTTATTTTTCATGTTTCATTTGCCTACAGCTTTTTTTCTATAGTGAGACAATAGAGTTGGTGTTTGCTGCTGCCGGAGCTCTTCTGTTTTGTGGATTTATTATTTATGATACTCATTTGCTGATGCACAAATTATCCCCTGAAGAGTACATACTGGCTGCAATCAATCTCTACTTGGACATCATCAATCTGTTCTTACACCTGCTGCGTGTACTGGAGGCGTTTAATAAAAAATAGTCAAAAGCGATGTGGTTTGACTATAGCGTATATAAAGTTCAGCGTTTGGATGATCTGCGAACTGTAGTTCTGTCTCCTAGAGACTGAATCTTTATGACTTTTTCATTCCATTAATATTAATCTCTTCTTAGGAAAAAAGAGGCTTTATTATGTAGCTAAGTTTTTCTCTGGATGTATATTTTATGTAGTTAAACATGCTATCATCATTTCAGTCACTTTTTTAATCACTTAATTTGCACTCAATATAACTCACAATGAAAGTGTTGGCCAGCTTGTGGTTGCTCCAGAGTAAGCCCCTCTCTGATCTTCTGTAGCTGCTGGAAATGTGTCCTTTGGGGTTTTAAATGTGTGTACCACATAAGGGTAGCCTGAGTTTATCACTGTGCAATGTTTTACTAAGCTAAAATTTTTTCTATTTTTTGTTTGGTAAAACGGAATGCTGTCTCTAACAGATGCTCTGTTCTTGTTAAGGGTTGTCAGATTATTACATAAACTGGGAGAGTGTTAAAACAATTAAAGGTAATATTCTTAATTTAAGTATTATTTATTGCCTGTCTTTCAGTGTTCTGAAAAATCATTTGGAGATGGATTCTGCCATTTTCTCAGCTTGTGTATACTAAGATTAATAGTCTATCAATAAAAATTGGAAAACGTTTGGTGTGTTCTTGGAGCTGAGACTGGAGAAGGGCTTGCTGACAGGGGAGAGGTGCTGGGGCGGTGGCTGCTTTCCAAGCTGTTGAAATACTGGAACGGCAAGCAGGGTAAAAACAATTTTGAAAGGCTTTCTTACTTCATATTCAGTGTTGAAGTCAAAGTATTGTTACCACTCGCCTTTGCTGTCAGCTAGGGGTTAGCAAAAATGCAGCACGGTATGCGGGAAACATCCCTAAGCCTGGGACAGCGAACACGTATGCATTCCGTGCTGGAAATTGTGTGAGGCTGTTGAAGTGCGACTGCCAATTGTTTTGGGCAAGTGTGATTTCTGTCTTCTGTCCTAGGCTTTCGTTAGGAAATGGGTGGCACTGGCTAAGAATAAAACTTTTTTTTCTCCTTGTGATGAATTTTTTTTACGTCGGGTTTTTTCATCCCTGCCCGCCCCCCTCTACAAGCAGCGGTGGGTGGAGGTTGTTTCACACCTGCAGCGCACAGCTGGGCCGTGGCACTAGCAGGACGTAGGAAGGCGGCGGGGCG